TTTGAATGTTAAATCACCAAGCACTTTTTTTTTTGTACAATGAAGGAATTTGGGGCAAAAATATATACAAGAGCTCAAAATTAGACTTTACTCATCTTATTTTCAGAGTAGTAAAATTGCCAACTAATAATTTTAACTTCTCTAAAAAGTATGAAAACAAATACAGGGAAGAAACCCACTGATAACTATATAAAATACAAACATTTTATAGGGAAATATTTATAGGTAAAAATTATAAACTATAAAACTACAATTTATTAATGTAGAAATGTATGTGTTTATATATAAGTATTTATATATTTACATGAAGAATTTTCATTTATGCAAACACGAGAAATTATAATTTATAAAATTATAACTAATTTATAGACAAGTTGTCTGTAAATTACTATTCTGTTGTGAGTTTATTACATTTACAATAAAATTATAGTTAATAACTCTTTGACAACTGGATGATATATCAAGTAATAAAATTCATGAGAGCAGTGAAACCAAGATTTGTACAAGGAGATAAAATTCACTAGCAGCTCACAAAATGTACGTTGTATCTTTCTTCTCCAGGGCTACTCAACAAGAAAATTAAATTTCTAAGCCAAAGGGGTGCTCTTCATACGGGAGGCCGACGCTGCACAGAAGGCTTCACTAACACCTCCACCAGTCAAGGGAGCTCATCTGTGTGAGTGCTCCCCACCTTCTCACACCAGCAACACCCAACTTTAAGGCAGTTGGCAGGGGTTTGAACATTCACTGTGTGACCACAGAACAACCCTGTCTGGACCGGATGATCATGAAAACCGTGACCTTGGCCTCACAGGATGGAGAACAAGCCTTGACCTCCATTTGCGTACCCGCCCTGGGAAAGCCTAGACCTGAAACTTCGACCATTCTCCACACCTGAGAACGCTCTCAACACCAGTTAAATTGGACAGTTAGTATCAGGGTCTCAGTTACACAGGAACCCCAAGGAAAGNTATATACAAGAGCTCAAAATTAGACTTTTCTCATCTTATTTTCACAGTAGTAAAAAATTGCCAACTAATAATTTTAACTTCTCTAAAAAGTATGAAAACAAATACAGGGAGAAAACCCACTGATAACTATATAAAATACAAACATTTTATAGGGAAATATTTATAGGTAAAAATTATAAACTACAAAACTACAATTTATTAATGTAGAAATGTATGTGTTTATATATAAGTATTTATATATTTATATGAAGAATTTTCATTTATGCAAACACTGGAGAAATTATAATTTATGAAATTATAACTAATTTATAGACAAGTCTGTAAATTACTATTCTGTTGTGAGCTTATTACGTTTACAATAAAATTATAGTTCATAACTCTTTGATAACTGGATGATATATCAAGTAATAAAATTCATGAGAGCAGTGAAACCAAGATTTGTGCAAGTAGATAAAATTCACTAGCAGCTCACAAAATGTATGTTGTATCTTTCTTCTCTGGGGCTACTCAACAAGAAAATTAAATTTCTAAGCCAAAGGGGGGCTCTTCATATGGGAGGCTGATGCTGCACAGAAGGCTTCACTGACACCTCCACCAATCAAGGGAGCTCATCTGTGTGAGTGCTCTCCACCTTCTCACGGCAGCAACACCCAACTTTAAGGCAGTTGGCAGGGGTTTGAACATTCACTGTGTGACCACAGAACAACCCTGTCTGGACCAGATGATCATGAAAACCATGACCTTGGCCTCACAGGATGGAGAACAAGCCTTGACCTCCATTTGTGTACCCGCCCTGGGAAAGCCTAGACCTGAAACTTTGACCATTCTCCACACCTGAGAACACTCTCAACACCAGTTAATTTGGACAGTTAGTATCAGGGTCTCAGTTACACAGGAACCCAAGGACAGCAGTGCTGTCATAACAGAGCTGCAACTGCCACCACTGCAGTGGCCCGCAGAGCAGTAAAATCTGTCTACAGTGTAAGATGGACAGAAAAGTCACTTTGGCATTGCACACCAACCAATCAAACTAATACCTTGCCCACTGATCTTGTATCTTTATCAATGAAATTTTATTGTACCAGGAGCTCCTATCATCTAGAAAACCTAGTCCTGTAATTCTAATGGTGTCTTAAAACTTTAAGCATATTTATTTATAGTAAACATTATACTTTCTCTTATTTTGAAGTGACCTTATTAGTCCCTTTCTTGGTATTGACACTAGTTATCACAGAAGAGATTTTTAACCTGTGCTCTCTTCTTGATGGCAACTGCAGGGTTGGGGGCAGGACAGAAGTAGAGTCCCCCCACACACTGCCCCCTCATCCCCCAAAACATAATTTATCCCAGGAATAGGCAAATTGAATGAGATTAGGAAATGACACAATACGGGCCGACCCCGTGGCTCACTCGGGAGAGTGCGGCGCTGGTAGTGCCGAAGACGCAGGTTAGGATCCTACATAAGGATGGCCGGTGCGCTCACTGGCTGAGCGTGGTG